ACGGGAGAAGGTAGAGTAATCTGAGTTGGTGGAAGAGAAACGAAGCAAAAGGAATTTGACGAAACCCTACGATGGGACCTTTTCGGTCGCATTCCAGGACTAGTAAAATTGACGCCGAGTTTTAGACAGCGTGTTTAGCACAGCGCTATCGAAGTGGCGTTTCGTCGCGAACGTCGGGGGTTCGAATCTAGTGATGCGCATTGTTTCTGGAAAACGTATTCTTGATCCGTTTTGTACTTGTGTTGTTTCAGATTTCCAGTCACCATAAATCTAGTGATTTATTCTATTTATTACCAACATCACTCAGTTTTCTTCCTTCCTTCGCCAAAATCCCCCCTTGGGATAAGCCACGTCACCCGCATCGCTCGATATACTCAGCGCCAGACGCCTTAGGCAGCGCGCGCTCGCCCCTTAGCAGCGCCTTGACGCCACCAGGCAGCGCGATCTCGCCTCAGCAGCGCCAGACGCCTTAGGCAGCGCGAAATCGCCCCTTAGCAGCGCCTCGACGCCACCAGGCAGCGCGATCTCGCCTCAGCAGCGCCAGACGCCTTAGGCAGCGCGAAATCGCCCCTTAGCAGCGCCTCGACGCCACCAGGCAGCGCGATCTCGCCTCAGCAGCGCCAGACGCCTTAGGCAGCGCGAAATCGCCCCTTAGCAGCGCCTCGACGCCACCAGGCAGCGCGATCTCGCCTCAGCAGCGCCAGACGCCTTAGGCAGCGCGAAATCGCCCCTTAGCAGCGCCTCGACGCCACCAGGCAGCGCGATCTCGCCTCAGCAGCGCCAGACGCCTTAGGCAGCGCGAAATCGCCCCTTAGCAGCGCCTCGACGCCACCAGGCAGCGCGATCTCGCCTCAGCAGCGCCAGACGCCTTAGGCAGCGCGAAATCGCCCCTTAGCAGCGCCTCGACGCCACCAGGCAGCGCGATCTCGCCTCAGCAGCGCCAGACGCCTTAGGCAGCGCGAAATCGCCCCTTAGCAGCGCCTCGACGCCACCAGGCAGCGCGATCTCGCCTCAGCAGCGCCAGACGCCTTAGGCAGCGCGAAATCGCCCCTTAGCAGCGCCTCGACGCCACCAGGCAGCGCGATCTCGCCTCAGCAGCGCCAGACGCCTTAGGCAGCGCGAAATCGCCCCTTAGCAGCGCCTCGACGCCACCAGGCAGCGCGATCTCGCCTCAGCAGCGCCAGACGCCTTAGGCAGCGCGAAATCGCCCCTTAGCAGCGCCTCGACGCCACCAGGCAGCGCGATCTCGCCTCAGCAGCGCCAGACGCCTTAGGCAGCGCGAAATCGCCCCTTAGCAGCGCCTCGACGCCACCAGGCAGCGCGATCTCGCCTCAGCAGCGCCAGACGCCTTAGGCAGCGCGAAATCGCCCCTTAGCAGCGCCTCGACGCCACCAGGCAGCGCGATCTCGCCTCAGCAGCGCCAGACGCCTTAGGCAGCGCGAAATCGCCCCTTAGCAGCGCCTCGACGCCACCAGGCAGCGCGATCTCGCCTCAGCAGCGCCAGACGCCTTAGGCAGCGCGAAATCGCCCCTTAGCAGCGCCTCGACGCCACCAGGCAGCGCGATCTCGCCTCAGCAGCGCCAGACGCCTTAGGCAGCGCGAAAACGCTCCTTAGCAGCGCCTCGACGCCACTAGGCAGCGCGATCTCGCCTCAGCAGCGCCAGACGCCTTAGGCAGCGCGAAATCGCCCCTTAGCAGCGCCTCGACGCCACCAGGCAGCGCGATCTCGCCTCAGCAGCGCCAGACGCCTTAGGCAGCGCGAAATCGCCCCTTAGCAGCGCCTCGACGCCACCAGGCAGCGCGATCTCGCCTCAGCAGGGCGGAATCGCCGCAGGAACCACCAGGTACCACCTGAAACGCCACCATGGAAGACGATCCAGGCCCCGGGGACCCCGGGGTCTGGGCGAGAGACAGCGTAGACAATGGCATGACGGAAGCCATCGGGGGCAAAGGGGGGACAAGCACGGCAGCAGTCAGGGGGTCGCTCCGCCTAGAGGCTGGCCACAAAAGACGGGGGGGGCCTGAGGGTGCGCTCCAGAGCCCACGCATCTGTCGCCTCCGCCACGAAGACATTCTGTGCCTCTTCGGCAAACCACCCAAGAGGCGGTGTTTTGAAGCGAACCGCCCGATTTCAGCAATTACAGGTGGACAATCCGTCAAGAACCCCCCCAGCATCCGGGCTGGCCAGAGCGGCGTCTCAGAGCCTTCGGCCGTCAACGAAGAGGGGGGAGAAGAAGTAGGCGACAGGAGTCTGGCCGCCGAAGTGGCATCAGAGGTTGCGAGGGCAGCTTGGGAAGAGCATCGTAGGCGCTTGCAACAACAGCACAACACTCGCAGGAGTGGCCTACCTGAGAGAATAACGCGGCACAGTGCGTGCTCGACCGACGTCGACTCTCCCCTAGTCGTGCCACGTCTCGCACGGCGGCAGGAACGGAGGCGTCGGAGGGTGGCAGGAAGAGACAGGCAGAGGGAGCCGCCGGTGGGGGGCCGGTGGGACCTGCAGGCGGGCGGACAGGAGGGGCGCCGGGAAAGAGGCCAACAGCCGCCGGAGGGGACGAGGCAGCAGCGGCTGCAGAGCGGAGGGCAGCAGCAGCTGCAGAGCGGAGGGCAGCAGCAACTGCAGAGCGGAGGGCAGCAGCAGCTGCAGAGTGGAGGGCAGCAGCAGCTGCAGAACGTAGGGCAGCAGAACCCGAAGAGTGGTCATCTTCGGGGTGGGGGAGAAGGTCTGGAAGAAGTCGACCCCCTGACGCTGACTGAAGCCTCTAGCAACGTAACGAGCCTTGAAGACAGGCGGAGAACCTGGCGGCCGCTTCACCCTGAAAATCCACATGCCATCGACGATGTTCGCCCCAGGAGGGGGAACCTCGTCGACGTAGGTGCCTGTGGACTTCCAGGATGCCATCTCTGCGTCCATGGCTGTCTGCCACTGAGAGGAGTAGGGACCCGAGATCGCCTCTGCGTAAGTGCGCGGAGTGGGGATGTCTAGTGCATCCGGGTCTCCCTCAGGGGCAAGCAACCAGGCCACGAGATGAGGTACAGCAGCCGCGAGAGAGTCAAAGTCCTCCTGCCTGTCCTCAAGGACGTCCGTGCCAAGAGCACACTCACCCCCGACGGACGGAGGACAGACAGACGCAGACTCAGACTCAGCAACAAGGCTAGCAGCGTAGTCTAGACGACAGGCAGCAGCAAAGTCAACCAACTCAGCGACCAGAGCAGACGCAGCCGAGGACTCAAAGGTAGGGTCAGTGACAACAGTAGCTAGGAGACGCGTGACAGTAGGGTGCTCAGCGCGATACCGGTCAGACTCAGGGTCCGGAACGGCAGGCAAAGAGGACGCAGGAGGAGACGATAGAGGGACACGCTGAGGAGCAGTAGAGGGACGCAGAGTCATGTAGTGAGTGCCTGGGACAGGAGGAGGACGCTCACGACGGACACGACTACCAGTGCGAGGAAAAGCGGCGGGGGAGGGAGGGGGGCAGTACGGTAGGGGAAGAGACGGTAAAAAGGGACCGACTCGTCAAAGGTGACATCCTGAGAGGCGAAGACCCGGCGCGAGGTGGGGTGGTAAAACTGCCAGCCAGGCGCGTCAGGGACAAAGCCAAGGAAGACACAGGGAAGCGTGCGGGAGGAGAGCTTGTCCGCGGACGTATCGCGGACAAGGGCACGAGCACCCCAGACCCGGAAGCGCGACGCATCGCCAACCTCCCCCGTCCAACGCAGTGTGGGCGAGGTCTCCGGCAAGGAGACACGGGGCCAGAGGTTGAGCTGATGCGCGGCGTACCGGACAGCAAACGGCCACAGAAAATGGGGAGCCGCCGCGTGGACCAAGGAGGTACGAGCGACCTCCATGACCAGGCCAATGCGGCGCTCAGCAACCCCATTCTGCTGTGGGGAGTCCGGAAGCGTGAAGGTCTGCTCGATGCCCTCCGCCTGACAGAAGGTCCTCAAGAGATCAGAGGAAAACTCACCACCTCTGTCAGAGTGCAGACGCAGGACAGGAAGATCCGTCCGGAAACGGCGGCGGAGCTGGAGACGAACTGTGCGGATCCAAGGGATCAGAACAGCAGGGACCTCACCCTTGGTGCGCAAGGGGAAGACCGTGGTGTAACGCGAGTAGTCGTCGACAACCAGCAAAAAGTACCGCTCACCGCCCTGGCCACGAACGCGGGCTGGGCCCCACACGTCCAGGTGGAGGGTCTGCAGAGGAGCCTCTGTCGGGGGGAACGAGGAGGAGTGAGGAGCGGCGCGCTGCCGCCCCTCGACGCAAGGAAGGCAAGGCGGCGCAGGCGAGGCAGGGAGGGGAGGGAGGGACCTGGGAAGACCAGACACAAGGTGGCGACGGTGCATGCCACGAAGGCGTGGCAAGGAGGGGTGACCCAGGCGGTGGTGCCAGAGAAGAGTCTGGTGCGACAGGGAACGACACTCACAGGCGTGGGCCACCAGACCAGACGCAGACACCTGACCGACAGCAGCGACCTGAGGAGACGCAGTGGTCAGTGTGTAGAGACTCGACCCCGGCCGACGGGTAAACGTAGCCAGGTGACGGCCGGTCCTGGAGCACGTGCAGATCGCCACACGCTGTCCTCCAGGGGTAAAGGTGTCAACCCACTGATCCTGGATGACAGCGTTGCTCACCAGGTTCGTCGAGAACGAGGGGAGGTGGAAACCCGACAACGAGCCAGACGGAACCGCCGGACAAGGGAGTACAGTGGTGGACTGGGCAAGGACTGGGCCCCCAGAGGGGTCAGCCAAGGAGACTGGGACCAGTGCAGGAAGCGGTGTGAGCTCAGTACTGTCACGAAAGAAACAACGGGAAGCACCTGAGTCAAGGGTGAAGGTGTGACAGGCCTCAGCCGGTGCGGTACCTGAGAGAGCAGTCTCTGTGGGTGCTGTACCTGAGAGAGCAGACTCGCAAACAGTCGGGACAGCACTGGAGGGAGCAAGTACAGGGGGCACCATACCAGAGAGAGCAGACTCACTAGTACCCAGGGCAGCGGGCTCTATACCTGGATCAGGCGGCACACACAAGTAACAGTCTCCCTCGGCACTAACAGTCAATGCATACATGGCAGCAATAATAGCATCATAGTCAAGAGCAAAGACATCAACACCAGCCCTCATGAGCTCAGCCCAGCGGGGGCGCTCAACATCCTCACCCATCTCCTCACGCCAAGCGTCGTCAAGGCGGGAGAAGCAGCGGTACGGGGTGTGGAACCTCCCACACGTCTGTCCCTTGCGGTCACCTGTGCGAATGACATAGGAACAGCGGCCACTGCCCCCCGACGTCCCACGCTGAGCAAGCCACTCACGAAGCTGCTGGGTCGTCTGGGGACGCTGCTGCTGCTGGGAGCTCTGGCCCGAGCCAGTGCCTCCACTCCGACCTCCGCCGCCACCACTACCACCGCTCCGACCGCCACCGCCACCACCGCCACCACCGCCACCACCGCCACCGCCGCCACCACCGCCGCCGCCGCCACTACTGCCACTGCTTCCTCCGCCGCCCCCGCCTCCACCGCCGACCCCACTCCCACCAGCGCCCCCCCGCCACCGCTCCCTCCAGCACCGCCTCCCCCCCCACCTCCCCCACCTCCTCCCCCCCCAGCGCCACCACCACCACCCTTGCCCCCCTTGCCCTTGCCGGTGCGGCGCCTCCCACCAGGAGCAGAAGCAGCGCCAACAGACTCAGCACCAAGGAAGTCAACAGTAGCAGCAGTAGCGTAGGAGGGAGCGAGGGGAGAGGGAGAACACCCCTCAAAGATGGGGGTGCGAGGAGCGCCACGAGCAGCACCGACAGCTACAATGCTCTTTTCGGCCGCGAGCAGCTGCTCCTCTAGGAGGGGGACTGTGAGCTCAGTGGGACAGCGAGCAAGGAAGTGGTCTCGAACTGAGCTGAGGGTGTCAGGGAGACGGGTGACTATGAAGTGGAGTGTCCAGTACAGTGGAGGGGGGTTCTTAGCGCAGAACTCGGTGGGAAGGGCGGCACGCAGGCGAGCATCACTAGTGCGAAGGTGGGTGATAAGATCGGCGACTGTAGCAAAGGTGGACAGATCGGGGAACAGGTACGGCAGCATGAGGCGGCTAAGCTCGGCTGTGGCAGGCGAGGAGTAGCGAGCAACGACAGCATCGTACAGGGCCTTAGCGGATTTGCAGTCGCCAAAATGCTCGAGCTCAGCTAGCGGCAGGTGACTGCGAATGGCTAGGCGAGCAGCTGCGTCACGAGTCTGCCAGTGGGAACGAACACTAAGCTCAGCTGTGGCAGGGGGGGCAGGTGCAGCACCAGACGCGTAATCATAGAGCGACACATGCTCCTTGCTATCGCTCAGAAGGAACAGCTGCAGGTCATCCAGCCAAGTGGCGAACTTCACAGGGCGGCCCTCAGCATCGAACGACAGCACGCGGATGGAAGCCATAGCGACAGTGCGACTGAGCAAAGGAAGCTGCCACAGCGCTGCAGGTAGGTAGCTCGGCGGGAAGCGCGGCGGGCGGGCGACGCGGCGAGCAGGTAGTGCGGGGGGGCGGGCTACGAAGCGGGCAGCGCGGTGGGCAGGCGGCGCTGCAGGCGGGAAGTGCGGCGGGCGGGCTGCGAAGCGGGCAGCGGGGCGAGCGGGCGACGCGGCGAGCGGGCAGCGCGGCGGGCGGGCTGCGAAGCGGGCAGCGGGGCGGGCGGGCGACGCAGCAAGCGGGCAGCAGGCGGGCGGGCGACGCTGCGAGCAGGCAGCGCGGCGGGCGGGCTGCGAAACGGGCAGCGCGGTAGGCGGGCGACGCTGCGAGCGGGCGGCAGCGTGGCGGGCGGGCGACGAAACGGGCAGCGGGCGGGCGAGCGATGCTGCAAGCGGGCAGCGAGGCGGGCGGGCGACGCTGCGAGCGGGCAGCGCGGCGGGCGGGCGACGCTGCGAAGCGGGCAGCGGGCGGGCGGGCGACGCTGCAAGCGGGCAGCGAGGCGGGCGGGCGACGAAACGGGCAGCGGGCGGGCGAGCGACGCTGCAAGCGGGCAGCGAGGCGGGCGGGCGACGCTGCGAGCGGGCAGCGCGGCGGCTGGCGACGCTGCGAAGCGGGCAGCGGGCGGGCGGGCGACGCTGCGAGCGGGCGGCTCGGCGGGCGGGCGACGCTGCGAGGGGCGCGCGAGGGCGCTAGCGAGGGCGCGCGAGGGCGCTAACGAGGGGCGCGCGAGGGCGCTAACGAGGGGCGCGCGAGGGCGCTAACGAGGGCGCGCGAGGGCGCTAACGAGGACGCACGAGGGCGCTAACGAGGGCGCACGAGGGCGCTACGAGGCTAGGGCACGGGGTAGCATGGTAACCGCATGCGAGCGGTGGTGGGCCCTTAAAAAAAAACGGTCGGTAGGTCCTAGGGACCTCCTGCTCTGAATACCATGTGAAAAGAACTAGGCAAGAATGGTGCATTGAATGAAACAGTTGGGTACAAGTAGCAAACCCTAGTTGGGGTTGTACCCCATATTGGCTACCCCACTACAGCCTACCAACATATAACACATTACAATTTAACAGTAAATGCTATAAGTGACAACTACAAATTCTCCAGATTAGATTCGCCTCTCTGGTCAGCAAGACTCCTGAGAACAAAAAGAAAAGATGAAGAGAAAAGGAATCATAGAAAACCGTTAAACATGAATAATCAGGATACAAAATTACGGATGAAGAAAAGTAAAGGCAAGGTAGGGTCAACATAAGAGAAAATAGAGCAAATCAAACAAAGTAGAAAACAGAAGCGTAAAATGGAAGCATAAAACGGAAGCAGAACGCGAAAGCAGAAAATGGAAGCGGCAAACTGAAGCAGTAAACATGGAGAGAGAGAGCGAACGACAGAGAGAGAGAGGGAGAGAGAGAGAGAGAGAGAGAGAGAGAGAGAGAGAGAGAGAGAGAGAGAGAGAGAGAGAGAGAACGAGAGAGAGAGAAAAGAGAAGGGATGTCAAAGAAATGAAATATAACATATGAATGAATGGAATGAACCAGAATGAACAACATAATAACAACGGTGATTTAGGAAAGCGGAAAAAGACAAACACACACAACACAACAAGTGGTCAAATACGAAACTATGCGAATAAGGTGCGATGAGAATCAGAAGATGAACACACACAACAGAATGAAAGAAACCAGAAAGAGAGAACAAGACACACAACAGAATGAAAGAACCAGAGAGAGAGAACAAGATACACACAACAGAATGAAAGAACCAGAGAGAGAGAGAACAACATACAAACACACAAAGAATGAGAAGAACCAGAGAGTGAGAACGAGAGAGAGAGAGAGAGAGAGAGAGAGAGAGAGAGAGAGAGAGAGAGAGAGAGAGAGAGAGAGAGAGAGAGAGAGAGAGAGAGAGAGAGAGAGAGAGAGACCATGTATCATTATAATGCAAATGATATATAATGCAAATGTGACAATATCCACGTAGACAAAACGGAATGAAAGAGAGGATGATACAACACTAAGGTAGGATGATACATCATCTTCTGGTTAACATGTACGTCTAGATCTAGTTTTAAAAAAACGAAACTCTCAACCATGATGAGTTAAACTAGGACCCACTCTCAACTAGAATGAGCTTATGAATAGAGAGAATAAAGCTTACCTTAATATGAGCTATAGTATGGGGCGTGAGTAGCGTGAGTGACGTGAGGGACGGGAGAAGGTAGAGTAATCTGAGTTGGTGGAAGAGAAACGAAGCAAAAGGAATTTGACGAAACCCTAGGATGGGACCTTTTCGGTCGCATTCCAGGACTAGTAAAATTGACGCCGAGTTTTAGACAGCGTGTTTAGCACAGCGCTATCGAAGTGGCGTTTCGTCGCGAACGTCGGGGGTTCGAATCTAGTGATGCGCATTGTTTCTGGAAAACGTATTCTTGATCCGTTTTGTACTTGTGTTGTTTCAGATTTCCAGTCACCATAAATCTAGTGATTTATTCTATTTATTACCAACATCACTCAGTTTTCTTCCTTCCTTCGCCAAAATCCCCCCTTGGGATAAGCCACGTCACCCGCATCGCTCGATATACTCAGCGCCAGACGCCTTAGGCAGCGCGCGCTCGCCCCTTAGCAGCGCCTTGACGCCACCAGGCAGCGCGATCTCGCCTCAGCAGCGCCAGACGCCTTAGGCAGCGCGAAATCGCCCCTTAGCAGCGCCTCGACGCCACCAGGCAGCGCGATCTCGCCTCAGCAGCGCCAGACGCCTTAGGCAGCGCGAAATCGCCCCTTAGCAGCGCCTCGACGCCACCAGGCAGCGCGATCTCGCCTCAGCAGCGCCAGACGCCTTAGGCAGCGCGAAATCGCCCCTTAGCAGCGCCTCGACGCCACCAGGCAGCGCGATCTCGCCTCAGCAGCGCCAGACGCCTTAGGCAGCGCGAAATCGCCCCTTAGCAGCGCCTCGACGCCACCAGGCAGCGCGATCTCGCCTCAGCAGCGCCAGACGCCTTAGGCAGCGCGAAATCGCCCCTTAGCAGCGCCTCGACGCCACCAGGCAGCGCGATCTCGCCTCAGCAGCGCCAGACGCCTTAGGCAGCGCGAAATCGCCCCTTAGAAGCACCTCGACGCCACCAGGCAGCGCGATCTCGCCTCAGCAGCGCCAGACGCCTTAGGCAGCGCGAAATCGCCCCTTAGCAGCGCCTCGACGCCACCAGGCAGCGCGATCTCGCCTCAGCAGCGCCAGACGCCTTAGGCAGCGCGAAATCGCCCCTTAGCAGCGCCTCGACGCCACCAGGCAGCGCGATCTCGCCTCAGCAGCGCCAGACGCCTTAGGCAGCGCGAAATCGCCCCTTAGCAGCGCCTCGACGCCACCAGGCAGCGCGATCTCGCCTCAGCAGCGCCAGACGCCTTAGGCAGCGCGAAATCGCCCCTTAGCAGCGCCTCGACGCCACCAGGCAGCGCGATCTCGCCTCAGCAGCGCCAGACGCCTTAGGCAGCGCGAAATCGCCCCTTAGCAGCGCCTCGACGCCACCAGGCAGCGCGATCTCGCCTCAGCAGCGCCAGACGCCTTAGGCAGCGCGAAAACGCTCCTTAGCAGCGCCTCGACGCCACTAGGCAGCGCGATCTCGCCTCAGCAGCGCCAGACGCCTTAGGCAGCGCGAAATCGCCCCTTAGCAGCGCCTCGACGCCACCAGGCAGCGCGATCTCGCCTCAGCAGCGCCAGACGCCTTAGGCAGGGCAGCAGCCCGATCAGAGCGGAGGGCAGCAGCAGCTGCAGAGCGGAGGGCAGCAGCCCAATCAGAGCGGAGGGCGGCAGAAACTGCAGAGCGGAGGGCAGCATGAGCTGCAGGGCGGAGGGCAGCAGCAGCTGCAGAGTGGGGGGCAGCAGCAACTGCTGCAGAGCGGAGGGCAGCATGAGCTGCAGGGCGGAGGGCAGCAGCAGCTGCAGAGCGGAGGGCAGCAGGAGCTGCAGAGCGGAGGGCAGCAGCAGCTGCAGAGCGGAGGGCAGCAGCAACTGCTGCAGAGCGGAGGGCAGCATGAGCTGCAGGGCGGAGGGCAGCATGAGCTGCAGGGCGGAGGGCAGCAGCAGCTGCAGAGCGGAGGGCAGCAGCAACTGCAGAGCGGAGGGCAGCAGCAGCTGCAGAGCGGAGGGCAGCAGCAGCTGCAGAGCGGAGGGCAGCAGCAGCTGCAGAGCGGAGGGCAGCAGGAGCTGCAGAGCGGAGGGCAGCAGCAGCTGCAGAGCGGAGGGCAGCAGCCCAATCAGAGCGGAGGGCAGCAGCAGCTGCAGAGCGGAGGGCAGCAGCCCAATCAGAGCGGAGGGCAGCAGCAACTGCAGAGCGGAGGGCAGCAGCAGCTGCAGAGCGGAGGGCAGCATGAGCTGCAGGGCGGAGGGCAGCAGCCCAATCAGAGCGGAGGGCAGCAGCAGCTGCAGAGCGGAGGGCAGCAGCAGCTGCAGAGTGGAGGGCAGCAGCCCAATCAGAGCGGAGGGCAGCAGCAGCTGCAGAGCGGAGGGCAGCAGCAGCTGCAGAGCGGAGGGCAGCAGCAGCTGCAGAGTGGAGGGCAGCAGCCCAATCAGAGCGGAGGGCAGCAGCAGCTGCAGAGCGGAGGGCAGCAGCGGCTGCAGAGTGGGGGGCAGCTGCAGCTGCAGTGCG